AATAAAACCAAATATAAAAGCAAAAAAAAATATTTAAATAGATTTTTCGGAATCGTGAAATGAAGTCTCCTGTGACGTAGATTAAAAAAAATTCTTTATCGTGCCAACGTTTCGATCTTTACTGAGAACATCTTCACGCCCAGGGATTTACAAAAATTGTTTAAATTTAACAAATACATGCAGGATTTTGAAAAAAGTGAATTTATACAATTCAAAAAAAAAAAATTTTTTATATTCATAGTATTTCTACTCAATAAAAGTGTTTGTTTTCTGTGTAATCACCAGACACGTTATTTAAATTTTAAAAATTTGGCGAAATTATATTTTATTTAAGAAATCTCAAATTAAATAAAAAATCATTTATTTTATGTTAAATTATGTGTATATTTTTTACGTTAAAATGATAGATGATGAAATTTTTTAGTTGTACTCAATTTTCATATGTTTGGGTACAAGCTCAAGTTACTGATGTTTAATATTTTTAATACAGGAATGTTAAATTTAGATTGTTATCCCATCTCCTATGTTTGTCTGCTGTTTAAAAAACGTTTTTGAAATAGAAAGAACTTAAATGTGAAATTAAGCAATTTCAGTAAAGTTAAATTAAAAAACGGTATATTGAAAATTGAAATGTGTTTGAAGTACAAATAAGTTCATTTGAAATGAAAAAGCATATTTGGATTTACAATAGGTTAATTTTATGGTAAAACAATGTCAATTTGAATATAAAAAGAGTTAAGTTTGATCTAAAAAAGGATCATTTTGAAATTCAATGGTTATGATTTAATTCAGAATATGAGTAAAATAAATGTTCAAATTTAAAAATTGAAAAGGGTTGCTGTGCCGAAAGAAAGAATTCATTTGAAGGAAAAATGATGGCGTACTTCCTTGGTGTACCGATATAATGGCACACTTTTCTTGCCGATTCATGGTTCATTACGTTTTATAAAATATTGGTAAAACCATTTTAAAATTGGTTCAGCATAAATATTTTAGGTTAGTTTATACAATTTTAAAATTAGTTACAAGATTAATTGTTATATTAATAACTATTAATTATTAGTAATTATATATATTATAATAAAATATATATTAATAAATATTTAATAATTATTAATAACTATGTGTGTTGTGATAAGTGACCGTTAATCGATGTTTATTCAGAAATCGTGAGATGGGGTCTGGTGTGATGTGTGTTTAAGAAAAACATTTTCTTTATCGTGCCAACGTTTCGTTCTTTATTGAGATCATCTTCAGGGCCTGGGATTTATAAACATTGTTTCAATTTAGCTGATATAACATAGATACAGAATAGGGAAAAAAGTTTATTTCAATTTATGCAATGCAAAAATATATTTTTTTATATCCAATCAAATTATTTCTACTCACTCAAGGTGTTTGTTTTCTGTGTAATTGTGCCATTCTTGAGTGTTGTGTTGAGAGTGCCAGTTATAAACATAAAACCGCAATATCTCACTGGCACTCTCAACCCGACAAGCAAGAATGGCACAATTACACAGAAAACAAACACGTTGAGTGAGTCGAAATACTTTGATTGAATATAAAATACTACATTTTTGCATTGTATAAATTCACTTTTTTCCACATCCTATATGCATTTGTTAAATTTAAACAATGTTTGTAAATCCCAGGCCCTGAAGATGATCTGAATAAAGATCGAAACGTTGGCACGATAAAGAAAATATTTTTCTGAAACTTACATCACACTAGACCGCATCTCACGATTTCTGAATAATCATTAATAACTATATTTTAGCTAGAAAAGGGCACGCTTTTTTAAAACAATTTTTCAAATTTAATGAAAAAGATTTCGAAGAATAATCTTTAATAAAAAAAACGCTAGAAAGAATTTCAGTTGTCTTCAAAACTCAAACAAAAGAACAATATTCAAAACAAATCAAGAAAACATATTCTTGAGCATGTCATCATTTTTCGAAGACAAATGAGATAGAGACTAGGGTAAATCCACCTTGCATTCTTATTTGGATCTAGAAAAAAAAATCACTACTTTCTTTCAAGAAGATTTTCTAACATTTTATACTTCTGTTCAATTCAACCGGAATAACCTCAGAGACGGTTGGGTTTTATGAAGAGAAAGAAAGGTTTTACGATAAGTTAAACTAAATCGATTTATGAAGAATACTGATGATTGGACAAGTGGATTCATGAAAGGAATAAATATATATATATAGAAAGTCTAACAAGATAGTATTTACTTTAGGTAAATATAGTTATATAAAATCTCTTTAGCTATAAACCCAAACCTTAGTTAAGAAATTTTTAATATTTTGATAAGAAAACGTTTTAAAATAGTAATAGGCCATTAAGGAAAAACCGGAACGAAGAAGACCACCCCATCCTCTCCGCCTAGCATATGTAGGAAGATTAATGACAAATAATGTGAAAGAAAAATTGAAAATCTCTGGGCCAAATTACGGCAGATAAAGACTGACATTGGTCCCTGGCCCACTGAGAAGAGAAGTAAAAGAGCCATACTTACTAGAATAAGCATAGGTTCAAATAAGCTTACATATGGGCACTTGCTGGCCGGAAAGAGACCCCGCCGATGCCCATTATCTACCGAAAGATAGGTTGAGAATATATTACAATGTAGAGAACTAGAAGTGTTCAGGATGGACTGCCAAGTCCTGCTGAACTATTCGTGGCATTAGGCTTAGCAGAGGGTAGGGATCGCTGTTTAAGTTTCTCAGGGCTATAAAAGCTTTTAAATTTATGTACTACGCGATTACGTTTTGCATGTTATGTGTGGTGTGTTGTGTTTTGGTGTGAATGTAAATTATTAGCGCATGTAGTGGACCAAAGCTCAACAAAAAGCAGCTACTTAAACATTAGGCAGCATAGAAAGACTAGCAAATGTAAAACAGGGGCAATGAGAACACCTCTACAAGTGTACTAGAAACTCTGCAGAAACAGAAGAAACCATTCGGGCATACAACCATAATCTACAAAATCAGACAACCATTCTTAGAAATGGGTACTGATTATATGATCCCGGAAACAAACTTCACAACTTCCTATAAAGTCTCAATGTAAAGGAGAGGAAGAACACAGGAAAGCATCGGACACAATGATGTGGTATACAGATGTCTCCAAAACAAACGAAGGTACCGGATCAAGCGTTTTTTGAACAAGCCCAAAACATGAGCAATCAAACTCATTAGGGAAGTACACTTCGGTCTTTCAAGCAGAAATACATGCCATCAATGCTTTTGCCTTGGAAAATCTTACAATAAGTTACACTGGCCAAAAAAATCCTCGTAAGATCAGATAGCCAAGCAGCCATTAAAGCAGTAGCATGCAAAAGAATTACATCAAAATTAGTCAGTGAATGCATCCAAAATCTCCAAAACATGGAGAAACACAACAACCAGGTGCCAGGGCACAGGGGAATTTTGGGTAACGAGAAAGCAGACAGTCTGGCCAGAGGAGGATCTGCAAGACCGTACATAGGCCCCGTACCTATACTTGGGATAAAAATACAAATATAGAATCCTCCATCGCAGAATGGAATCAAACATTCAAACAAAAGGAGAAGTGGATAAACTCTAGCGGTGCTAGACATAGTAAATTTATGATGAAACAACCCTCACCAAGACTGGAAAAATCACTGCTGCAACTGGAAAAGGCTAAACTCAGAGGAGTGATAGGACTACTAACTGGTCCCTGGTATCTGAGAAAACATCTACACAACATGGGCATATTCAATTATGATCCCATTTGCAGGTTATGTAATGAGGAGGTGGAAATAGCCATCCATACCATCTTCGAATGCGAAGCAACTGCTCAATGCAGATTCAACCTAACACAAGAAAAAACTTAGCGAATCAAATTGGAGAGGCGACAGTTAATGACCTGATACTTCTACGGAGAAGGATAGAGACTATTGCACTGAACTAAGAAACTAGGGTGTTTCCGGGGAAGGTGGAAAGCGTGAATGAAAATCTTTGTGTGTTAATGTTTCCTTGTTCTCTAAATAATAATTGGATAGACTTAGGTACTTTTGATAGGTTAGCAAGATAAGCAAACAGGAGACAAAATATGAGAGAGCCGGTGACAAAGTGAAAAGAAAGAAAAATTTTCGCTTAAAGCGCGGAGGGCCGGCGATGACCACTTGATGATTGTCGGCCTAAAATTAAATAATAATACAACACGAGTGATTTTGTTAACAAGTGGAAATGAAAAAAATGATAAAGAATACAATAAGTGCATGTAGTACCAGTAAAACAGTGAACAATTTTTATATTTCTTTATAGGTATATTTTACAATCAAGCCGACCGTATTTGTAAGAAGCTGGCTAAGTAGATTTGGCGATCTAAAGAAGATACTTGCGATTCCACTGTCAATGGCATTCACTTGTCTTGTTCCCTTTTTCCCTTTTTCCAAGTAGAATGGGATTTCTCAGCTGAGTGCGTTTCATTACAACAATGATACCAGGGGAGGGTGTCAAATTCTTTTCAGTTGAACTAGATATTGTCTTTTCCCAGTATACTGTCTCAACAAGGCGTTACAGTTTTAACTTTAAATTTTTAATTTTCCCGAAGATTTTTATCACTTTCTGAACAAGACAGCACAATATATACAATACAGCTCTTTCCACATTGTAGGGATTAACAGATTGTCTACGTTTTAATTGTTCAAACGCTATTTGGGAAAATCTATGGGGTGTTGATTTAAATTTTATTATCAAAATCCAGTTAAACAGTGTATCGATTTTATTTAATAAAGGGACGTTGAAATGAATACTGGTATTATATTTCAATTAACTTTTCCGAATTTAAATTAACATTTTGACAGAAGACATTTCAAAACATTTCTTTATTTATAATATACGTCAGAAACACGAAGCAAATAAATAAAAATGTTTTTTAAGAACTTTTATTATCCTGGTGTTTATTTATGTAAATTTAAACATGTTGGGATTGTTCAAAACGGACATAAATATTTTCCTCGTACTCACCTACGACACTGAGGTAGACGGGATGTCCGACGGGTGGCGTCGTGCTTATCTGGCACTCGTAGATCCCCGAGTCCTTCCTCTGAGGATATTTGATCCTCAAAGTCCAATCTTCGGTGTGGGGCGAGTGTATAGCTTCGAACCTCTGGTCAGAGGTGTATGTGTAACGGCCGACTGTGAGCAAATGTATGTCTCTGTGTCTCACCCACGAAACCTATAACAAATTATTTATTGTCTTATAGATTATTGTTTAAATGCTAAGGGAAAATATTTTTGACAAGATAGAATTACGGACGTGGGATTTGAGATTTTAATTAGATTTGTTTTTAGTGGAAATAAAGAAAAATGGATTAATCTATATAAAAAATATTATTGGAGATAGAAACGTCAGTGTCACAAGCGGGATTCGAACCCACGAACTTCGGCTGCTCTACCACTTGAGCTATCGTGACCTCGAACCACTCGGACACCAACTTTCCATCTTAACCTCACCTTTTAAATTTTCCCTCGTTTTTGCTATTTTTCAAATGTCGTGTAATCTATTTGATTCTCGGAGACTAATTAAATGGCCCCGGAGAGCTTTAGTGAAGATATACTTCATTATAACTTATTAAATTCATTAGTTTTCGTGGTCCGCTTAGCCAATTAACTTTTTTCAATTAATTGATATTTATGAAATATATTCGTTGAGATAAAAAAAGTCAGTGTCACGAGCGCGATTCGAGCCCACAATCTTGGGCTAGATATGCCCCCGCTCTACCATTTGAGCTATCGTGACCTCGTTCCACTCTGACAGCAACTTTCCATCTCAACCTCACCTTTTGAATGTTTACTCCTTTTAGCTATTTTTCAAATGTCGTATAATATATTTGTCCACGGAGAGCTTTAGGGAAAATGTACTCTATTTAACTTATTAAATTCACTAATTTTCGTGGTCCGCTTAACCAAATAACGTCTTTCTCTTATTATTAATCTCTATTTCTCTAGTATTGGTTGAGATAAAAAAGACATTTGAAAAATAGCAAAAAGGAGGGAAAATGCAAAAGGTGAGGTTGAGATGGGAAGTTAGTGTCCGAGTGGATTGAAGTCACGATAGCTCAAGTGGTAGAGCAGCCAAAGGTCGTGGGTTCGAATCCCGCTTATGACACTGACCATTTTATCTCAACTAATACTTTAAATACAGATTAATTAATTGAAAGACATTATTTGGTCAAGCGGACCACGAAAACTAGTGAATTTAATAGTGAAAAATTAAGCGTTAAGCAGCCCTTTTCGATAAATAATATTGACAATACAATATGATATTGACAATAATATTGATCATGTAATGTGAAAAAAACAGTATTGACCGTCGATATTGGAGCGATATTAATGAAATCCATATTTTCTGATCTCGAAGCATCAATATTTAAAAGTGGAGGGGTTATTGTCAATATTATTGAGCGTCCAGGGGCATATTGTCAATCTTTATTATCAATGTTTGTGCGGATTATTGTAGATTATACGAGTGATTTTGAGACAATGTCTGAAGACTTTGAAACGCGATTCAAGACTTTGCACGCGCTGGTCGGTCGCAATAAAATTTGGTTAAATAAAATAAAAATACAAAATAAAATAAAGTACAAAATAAATTAAAATACTAACTTGTTAACTGTGGCTGGATTTTCTCGACAACCAGGGAGGAGAGCCATTTAATAGCTAGAACCTGCAATAACTCTGGCCAAAGATAAAACAGAACCCTAGTCTATTAATTAACTTAGGGGCTCCGTCCGAACCCTGTATGATGTGTCGCATTAAGGATGCGGGAGGAGACACTCGCGTTATTTTGAACGCGATAATTAAGAAAACGAAAGAAAAAAAATGCTTTTTGAAAATAAGAGAAAAACTGAAAGAAAACTAAAAGAAAATCACTCTTGGAGGCTAATTAATAGTGGACTGTATGGAAGCGAGACGGAAGCGAAACGGAAGCGAACAGGACTAGAGCAGGACTAGGCAGCAACAGGAACGGATTATGGGGAGGGAACAGAGCTAGGATAAATTCTAGATTAGCGGCATTTCGGAAACAAATAAACAATTATAATTCGCGATTTTTGGCGCGAACAAAGACAAAATAATGTTTGCGACGAGAGGACTGAACGAAGCCCTACTTTATTGAGCAATTCGAGTTTCACACTTTTCAATTTCGCTGATAGTTGCCGGCGACAAGTTGACAGAGAACTTTCAATCTTCAAAATTGTTTCCAGTAGCTAAGTAATTTCGGGTTAAGGCCATTCTCACATTAACAGGGATGCATTTCCTCATGTTTGTGTTCTGCCTCTTAAGCATGATTGCTCCGCTTGAACAATTAATATTTTTCAATTAATCAAGGTTTTTTGTTGAGGTAAAAAAGTCAGTGTCACGAGCGGGATTCGAACCCAAGACCTGCGGCTAGATACGCCGCTGCTCTACCACTCGAGGTCAGGACAGCTCACGTGGTAGAGTAGCGGCGTATCAAGCCGAAGGTCGTGGGTTCGAATCCCGCTCGTGACACTGAATTTGTTATCTCAACTAAAAGCCTTAATTAATTGAAAGTTATTTTATAATTTTCAATAGTTTTAAGTAATATTTATAGTTCTTTCACATAAAAATCTAGGGTCTAGGAAGAACTTTGCGATTTGATAAGTGCGAGGGCGCATGTCTGATAATGCCTTTGTAATATCCTCTGTTTTGACGGTCTAAAACCAGTCACAAACCTGGTCTGACAACATGATGGAACAACAGGCTGACAGTTTGTGTTTGCGTTCGCAACGTGTCGGAACGCCAAAATTCAACTGCGCAAGGGCCCGCAAGTTTGCACGCGTGATGGAACAGTCTTATTATTTTTCCGTCCTGAAAACCACTTGAATACAAATTTTTGTAAAAAATTATTTAGAAATCGTGAGATGCGGTCTGGTGTGATGTAGGTTTCAGAAAAACATTTTCTTTATCGTGCCAACGTTTCGATCTTTATTGAGATAATCTTCAGGGCCTGGGATTTAGAAACATTGTTTTGCGACTTGGTTTACATTTTTCTGTTATGTAATTGATGCTGTGTTTATCTCCTCTAATAAATTATTTCTAAAAAGTTATGTTTATGTTTGTTTTGTTCTGTGTGTAATACTTTTGGATTTTTGAAGTCGAAATTGTTTTGGTGTTCAAAGTGGTGGGTAGCGAGTGCTGTAGGATTTTGCTAAGGTTTTTTGCAATCATAGATATGTTGCTTTACTCTCCTGTCCAGATTTTGGGATGTAAGACCGATGTAAATTGCCGGACAGTTTAAACAGTTGATCTTGTAGATTACGTCACATTTATTTGTTATTGGTATAGGATCTTTAATTTTGGAAAAAAGTGTTTGAATTGTTTTATAATTTTTGAAAGATATTTTGAAGTTATCGGACAAGAGGAAAAACCAAAACTACTTTTCCTTCCTCTAATTTGCTGTGCTCAAATTACTTATTTTTTATCCTAAAATTGTTGTATAAAAAAAAACTACAACGATCTACCAGAAATGTAACTTTTTTTCAAACCCTTATAACTACTAATAATGGCTGTTAAGCGGTGTTTTTCGTGTAAACACTCCTATCATTTTGTTTTCTCCTTTCTTTTCGTTTTTCATCTCTTTCCCCTTCATTACATTTTAATTTTAATTAATTGCACAGGCATCAGGCGATAAATATTTAGTTTATTTTAATTTATCGTTCATATATGTCGAACAACCAAGGATTGTAAAAAGGCTTAGCTATTATCTTGATCGATCGTTGTATCGATTTTTCATCGACCATCGTCGATTGATTCACCTTCAGGGACAACCGCCGAAAGGACTGACGACGCTACCTTACGGACGCTACTACCTCTTGTCGCTATGTGTTGCTGCTTTTACGTCTTCATTTGTAAAATTGCGTCATTGTAATGTCATCTTGCACCATCACCGACAACGTCATTTGTCACCACGCTATCTCCAATTTTTCGTTATCGGATTGTCATCTTGGATTGTTGCTAAGAGCATAGTCCTTCACGATCCCATCTTCATTGCTTAAGTTTCTTTTGATAATTAGCAAGCTTGCCATTTATTTTTTTTTTAAGGTACACGTTCTTTCGACGATAACATTTTTTTCAAAGCATTTTGTTTCTTCAAAAAATTACATTAATTTCAATTACTTTTCTTTGGTTTATAAAGAGTAAAGTTTATTTTATATTTTATTTTTATCCAAATATTTCTTAAATGTTCATATATAAACACATTTATAAAAATAATCTTGTCACTAGTCACATCAGTGAATCTAACACAAGATACAATTCATTGGCAAACTCACATTTTAACAGTGTAAAATCTCCGCAATATTATAGTTTTTCATTAAATTTGGGACTTCATTTTTGTTTTTGTATATATGTAAAGAGAGGATCGTTGTTCAAAATGTCACAAACTACAAATAAGTCAATTTGAATAATGATTTTTCGGAGATCATGAGATGCGGTTTGGTGTGATGTAGGTTTCAGAAAAACATTTTCTTTATCATGCCAACGTTTCGATCTTTATTGAGATCATCTTCAGGGCAAAATTAACAACGTTTATAAATCCCAGGCCCTGAAGATGATCTCGATAAAGATCGAAACATTGGCACTATAAAGAAAATGTTTTTCTGAAACCTACATCACACCAGACCGCATCTCACGATTTGTGAATAATCATTGACTAACTGTCTGTTGTCACACACAAATTTGAATAATTTCAAAAATTTTAAATTGCCGCTAACATATTTTAAAGCAATATTAAATATGGTTGATTTTTTTCATGTTACACGTCTATTGTGCACTAAGTTTGTTTATGTCTTTATTTTACATTATGCTTTTGAAACGATGTATTCTGTTTATTTCTCTGATGACCTTCAAAAACTCCTGTCTAGTACAAGATTTCCTTTTTGACAGCAGGTAGGGATGTACCAAAATTTTATTTTTTGTTGTAAATTTATATGTAGTGTACATTCTGGGAAATAAAGATTATCGTTATTATTATTACTATTAATTTATTGATAAACACTTCTTCTCCAACAATTGCTCAAACCACCGTACAAAAATAACAATAGGAGATAAAAGTGAAAGAACTGAGAAGGTTTTGGTTGATTTCGTATTTATTTGTCCAACTTATGATGATTAAAAATTGAAATAAAATATAAAAACTCGCCTAGAGTTAGAGCA